CTTATTACTTACTAAACTGAATAAAATAATTAAATGATGAGACGGCCTCTGCTAGATCTGATGAAGAGCAGTAGCATTACACTAAACCATCTCACTAGGGCGGAGGTGCCCCCTTGTGGCGCAACTTGGGATCTCAGAACATGTTGGCTCTCCAACAAAAATCACAAAATTAAGGCCCTTGTGTAACAAAACTACACCTGAAAACAATGTACAAAAATTAAATCACATAATATGGCCATACACATTATAGTGTTCCTTGTGCAAATATATGTCATGGAAGAATGAAGTTATGTTGTGAAAGATCAGATATATTTCACAAGTATAACCAGTTTAGTTATGCTGTGACAAAGTTGGTGGAACACAAAACCAGTTCGTCATAACTGATCACATTTCTTCTGAAAGTCTAGCAGCCCACAGTCATGGGGGAAAAATGTTTAATAAATTGATCATTATCAAGCTGTGGGTATTAATCTGCTTATATTTGCCATTCGATGGGAGAGAGCAGCTCAGTGTGGTTTCTGGCAAAAACCTCTGAGGACACAAATACTGTGAGACCCTACTGTGCTGCTTATGAACTAAAGGGTAAAACTTTTACTACAGATATTTTTACTAAGTTTCGTCAGGGTGGCCTATATAAAGAAATGTCTCTATATCTGAGCATTTATAACAGTTTCCTTTAACAGTTGTCTCTGCAAAGACTGATGAGCGTGTGAGGTTGCAGAGATTGCGTCACAAAAGCTCAGTTGCTGCTTACATTTTGGGAACTATTTTTTTTCAACATGTTGATACTGGTATAAACAAAGTGTAGTCACTTCCCCAGAGACATCTTCTGTCAAGTAGCCTCAAAGAAACACTGCTACGAGGGCCTGGAAATGCCATAAAAAAAACCCCTGAACATTAAGAAAACAAACTCAATAATATTAATGGTAAAAAAAAACATGTGATTGTGAATGAAATTTGTAAAGTAATTAATTAAAGAAATGTTGTGCACATTAATATATCTGTCTGAGAGTGATTTTGTCATGTTTGTCTTTGTAATTTGTTTGTTTAATGAATTTGTTGATTTTCCCATTTCAGTTCAACCCATATTCTGTTACATTTCTAACATTATATGATGCAAATGAGGCGACTGCTACTCAAAGTGTGGTATTAAGTGAACTTTGTGGCTACATCTAGTTAAGAGACCATTAGAGAAGTGAGGCTACAGCCTCATGGCCTTTCTTACATATTGTTTTATCTGCTGCATTAGTGTGGAGTTATTACCATCATCTCACATCTAAAAAGGCAAGATAATATCCACTATCTCCACAGTTGGCAACAAGAGAATAATTTTGTTTCTGTTTTAGTCGGCGGTATCCTGAGAAATCCATAAGTCTGCACATGCAGCTAACAGTGGCGATGTTCTGCCTCCATCTCACCTTCCTGCTGTCCAGCCTCCTGGCCCAACTACTGAAGGAAAAAGAGGACAGCTCATCTTGCCTGGTACTGGGTCTGGTTTTACACTGGTCCCTTCTGGCCACCATGACCTGGAGTGCTCTGGAGGGGTTCCACCTCTACCTTCTGCTCATCCGGGTCTTTAACATCTATGTGAGGAGGTACCTGCTCAAACTCAGCCTGATTGGATGGGGTGAGTGTCGTTTAGGTGGGACGCTGCTCTGCAATACGCTGTCACAAATCTTTAAATGAAAGTGGATTGTGTTGAAGTGTTGCAGCAGCATTGAGAAGTAGAGAAACAGTGACAATAATGCCTCACGCTGTCCTAAAGAACATTCAGCTGACATTAATTCTGTCTTCCATGTTTTCAGGTTTTCCTACACTGGTTGCAGCTGTTTGTGGGATTTCACGTGTTTATGGCAAATACACTCTGAAATACAGCAACAGCAATTTAACACAACACATGTAAGAAACTATCTTTGATATCACTTAATATTAGAGTGAGCCAGGAGATTTTATTTCTAAGCAAACCCATTTTTTATGTCTTTAATAATGAGCAGGTGCTGGATAAGCGGCAAGTCTGAACAAAAGCTCCTCATAGTCAGCTACATCACTACCGTGGCTTTTCCTTTCTTCGTGGTTGTGTTCAATGCCTGCATGCTGGGGCTGGTGGTGTTTAAGATTTTGGAGCTAAGAAGGGGTGATAGAAGCTTTGGAAGCAGCAGTGACTGGAAGAAGATAAACAAAGAGAGAAAGAAGAGGTTATGGAAGGACTGTGTCACAGTGCTGGGCCTCAGCTGTGTGCTTGGGTTACCTTGGGGGTTAGCCAGCACTACATACGTTTCACTCGCTGGGATCTACATATTCACCGTATTGAACTCCCTTCAAGGTTAGTATGCGATCATCATGTCAAGGATTAACTGGACTTTGATCATTTACTAGAAGAACTGACAAACTATGTCTCTCTCTTCACAGGTGTATTTATTTTCCTGTGGTCTGTGGCGATGGCCTGGTCAAAATCTCAACCTGAAAATAACTCATCAATCAGAGACTCTTCCTCTCAGAAAATGATGACTACTAGTTTCAACAGCAGAAACTGAAAAGACTAATGCATTATCCATGACCTATATTAGGTGTTGCGCTTCTATTGATATGTAGTTCAGTATAACTAACAATTAAAAATATATACACATTTAGATGTGTTATTTCTTCCTTTTTGTGCAAATACTATGTAGAAATTTTGAAGAAAATTCTTGTGATTTTCTGTTTCCTCTTTCAAGCAAATATCAATAACTTGACTGTAATGAGTGGCTCTTTGAGTTGACTTCCTATCAGTTGGAAGCAGTGCAGTTATTCTACTCTGACCTCTGGCAACAACAAGGCATTTTCTTCCAGAGAACTGATGCTCTCTGGATATTTTTTCCAGCTTATTCTCTGGAAACTGCAGAGTGTTGGAAAATGCCAGTATTTCACCAGTTTCTGAAATACTCAGGCACCAATGAGCACACCATGCTCACACCTCCGTTCTGTTTCTGAGTTTAATCATGAGAACATCATCTTCACTATTCCTTCATGCCAATATGCATTGAGTTTGTTTGTGTGTTTTGCTTTTTAGATATTTGCGTTAATGACCTGTTGAACTAGTGTACCTAACAAAGTGACTAGTGAGTGTAGTATTTTTTTTTACTGTTTTTAGAGATTCCGTGCTAATAAGAGACAATAAAAATAACATTTTGAAGACACAAATAACATTTCCATGTATTACATTGTATACTAGATGACCTAATAGTGTGGTCAGGGAGTGTATGTTGTTTGTGATTCCACAGAGACTCTGACAGGCTAACACTAGCAATACTTGGACAACTCACAACCTAACAGGATAAGCATGACATTGCTAAAGCATCACCCTTTGAGGTCCTTCTGATAAATTGCTCCTAATGCTATACCTACTTATAACTAGTTATTATTTATAGCAACGTTCAGGTTAAAGAAAAAATGAACTACAGTACTCTCTGAATGATCGATATTCATTAAGAGTATTTTAAAATACCTTCTTTCTTAATCTTGCAAATTCTTCCCTGATATTTATAAAGTAAATCTTTAAAATGTTGACAAATTTTGAAAATTTTTGACAACAATTTTCTTATAAAATAGTATTTACTTTATTTACTGTTACAGTTATGTGTTAGGTTTTCCACAGCTTAACATTTACTTTACAGCAGTCTTCAAAAGGAGAACAGAGCGGAAGAACTCCTAAAACGCAGTACTCGGTAAGAGACAAGGCTGTTAATAATCATCTCCAACATCATGACCTGACATTCGAAGTTTAAACAGGTGGCAGGTGCCACCAGGTGGCAGCAATACCACAGGAGACACTCTTCCTCTTTTTTATGCATTACTCTTATGAATTGCTCATGCATTTCATGCATGACTCCATGCTCTGCTTTTTACCTGGATGGCCCTTGATGCACTTCTGTCTCCTCCAGATAAAGGGGTTTATCACCCACCCCTAGCTCCTGAAACTGAGCTAGGGGTGGGTATATACTACATGCTGTTTGGATCAAACTGTGTGTGACGCTGTTTAAGCTTAGCACAGGATATACAAAGAAATGCGTTTCAGGTCATGTTTTTCTACACTGATTGTATGATTAAGGGACACTATTATCAGTGCTTGCTTTCTTGATCTTTGACATGTTACTCTGTATCAGAATCAGAAATACTTTATTAAGCCTGAAGGAAATCATGGGTTACAGCAGGCAGCATGCTGGTTGGCACTTGCGCACTCACAAAGGAACGCTCCGACCAAACACACGATGTCTGACCTCCATCTTCGAGATAAGTGTTCAAAGGCGTTTGGAATCCAGGATGGGGGACGTGGGATGGGGACGAAGAGTCTAAACAGAGTCTGTTATCAGGAAGAGAGTTTTTTGTTCCGTGCTGCGTTCGATGAGCACATTTTGAGAATTCACGACTTGTCCCATTGTTTCAATCATCGCAGGCAGCCTTGTGGGGTTTTGAACAGCTGTTTCCGCCTTCTTCAATTTCCAATAAGCCAGGGCCAAGCCAGCTCCGATCAGCAAAAACCCCGTTATCATGGTTCCGAAAAGGTAGATGTCTTCAATGTCCTCGATCGACAGTCCTGCCAGGCACACGACCCTCTAGTTTTTCCACCAGTCTATCATGTACCCGGCAGGGATCGTCCCTCCAGGACAATCGGGCTCCCCCCGAGCCCAGGCTTGATCAAACCCATAATTCCTCTTTTAGGTTTTGGAGAACAGACTGTGAGAGTCGCATGTTGAGGATTCCTGTTGTAATCATCCTAACCAATTTCCTATCGTACAAGGGCGATGAATTAGGTGCCCAGTTTCACTTTCCTGGAGCTGACAATATTTTCTATATGGGGTATCCTACAACTTTTTTCAGTCTGGGACAAGGGAACTGAGGTTGATATCAGTTTGCGTCTCCAAATCCTCATCACAAGCCTCTTTGTAGTGTCCCAGGCTGAACAGTTATAACACTACTCCAGGCAGAGCACAGATTCCTCCATCTAGTTTTTGTGGTTAGCGTGTGGGTTCAAGGCCAAGCCTCGGAAGGGGTGATTTGGGAGTATGGGGTATTCAGTCCACTGTTACAGACAGTCTGGTTCTTATAGAGCTGCAGACAAACACTATATACTGAAATACAGATACCTTCAAAAATCTGGATTTATTTTCATGTATTGCCATCTTTAGAAAAATGACAAGATGCGAGTTCAGGTTTCACTTCCTTGATAACTTATAAGTCTCAACATTTCTTGACAATTATGGTTTAACATATTCCTATCTGCGTATATGTAAAGCAGTAACATTAGAGTAATTCCTTTTCTTCAAAAAAAACTAATATTCATTATTCAGTTACATTTTTTGTTTCTGTGTAACTGTCAATTAATTTTTTTAAATGGTCAAGACTAGTTTCAAACCAGTTAAAGCTCTGAAGCTTATTTTGGTTAAAGCAAACTAAAAGACCATGATGTGGTCTGGCATCATGGTCTTGGCTGGTTAGTCATGTTCTAATGCTTTTTCACAGTGTCAGTCTATGTTTACAATGAAATTTTCAGTGGAAATTTAAACCAGCAGCTTCAAATTGCTCAGTCATGACATCTTTGAAAAAACCCCAAAACATTAGCCATGAATCACTTCCTCCTCTGACCTCTGAACCACAGCTCTGCTAAGAATGTGTGAAATTCTCAGCTCACTTGGTTAAGCACACTTCAACCTGGTAGGGCAGCACATTGAATGGTCCTCTTACAGCATAGAGCTATTTGTGGACGAGTGAGACACGATGTGGATTACACTTTTTCTCTTCAAAATCATCTGTTTTTCTATGTCCCAAGCTGTTGGTGAGTAAACTTACGATGTAATTGCTGATATGTTTACAGTTGTTTGCTTATGAGATGAGTAACACTAACTGTAAACAGCCCCTTAAAACACTTCTCTACTACCAGGTGGCAACAACAGTTTCAAAACGCAGAAGCCACTAAGTAAGTACTGACCAAACAGCCGAACAGCTTGCCTTTCATTTGTCTCTGAATTCAGACTTCAAAACTGTATCAACTTCAAATCTTGTATGACTGTTATTTTCTGATTCCTTCACTTTCTGTTTGCTTCACTTTGACAGGGTGTGAAGATGTCCTGCTTCACTGTACACAAAGTAGTCTTTTTTGGACACGGTAATTTAAATGATGGACATCTAAACACTCCTGTTTTGGATAAGTTGCATTGTTGTACTACATGAATGAATTAATGTGGACACTATTTGCTGTGGATAAATGCTGGATTTGACTTAACATGACTGTCAAAACGAGAAACACAGATATACATAATACATTTTGTTTATGGAATCAGACATTAAACCTATTGAAATTAAGATGAACAACATGTTCATATCTAGATTGTCATCATTTATGTGTTTTGAAATATCTGCCTCAGCTAAAGGCTATGTCCACACTAATACGTTTTCGTTTGAAAATGCATCGTTTTCTCTCTGTTTTGGCCTCCCGTCCACACTGAGACGGCGTTTCCGCTGATGGAAAACGCAGCGTTTTCAAAAAGTTCTTGAACATGCATATATTTGAAAACGGTGCTTTCACGTCGCAGTGTGGACAGCAAAAACACAGACTTTCTAAACGATGACACATGTTAGTCATATGATGCAGTCATGTGACCAATTAAACTAAGATAGCGGAGGGCATTATAGAGCATTCGTTTTCTATTGCTCTCAATTTTGACAGCCTTATTAAAGATTAATATCAGTTTGTACATGCTCCAGATACCTTATTTAATTCTCACTCGCGTTTGCATCTTTGTACTTTTGTGTTACTCGCAGCAACAACTCCACCTCATTGTTAGTCCATTTAAAAAACTCGGTGCTTTTCCTCAACATTTTGCCGCGACATTTCAAAGAGCCTGAAACTAAATAAACGGCAGACAGAAGTGAGGCAGGTCGAATCTTCTTGTTTCACGCATGCTCAGTACTGGAACGTAAGCGTTTTCGGCCGTTACAATGTGGACGCGCAACTCTGTGAAAACGACTGAAAACGCTAGTGTGGACGCGGAGCATTTTCAGACAAAAATGCCGTTTTCAAATCTATCCGGACTTGTGTGGACGTAGCCAAAGAGTACTCCTGAGAGTGTTAGTGCCTTTCAGAGTCATAAATGATGCTATCCAACTGCCTGTTAGGGTACCTGGGTGGTCGACCCACTGTTTGTCCAGCAATAAAGCAAAGTTTGAGTTTACTTCCGCCTCTTTGAGTCTGCATATTGGGTCCCCAAATCTGCCTGCCACACACAGCCACCATGACACTGACTTTTACTAAAAACTGACAGTGTCATTTGGTGCCAGTGCGCGGCTTAAATCACCAGACTGTCATGCTGGAAAATGGGGTTTGTGTGCTTTTAGACAACTTCATGGGTTTTTTTTTTTCTTGAACTTTTGGAATTCGGAACATATTCCATTAAACAATGTGTTCGATCAACTTAGTAGATCCATGTTTATGTTTATCATATATACACTACTAGTCTGTTTACTTTTTACATTGTACATACATATTGAAGATATCAAATACCCAATTTCCTTGCGGGCCAACCTTCGGGATCAATAAAGTTTATTGAATTGAATTGAATTGAAATATATAAAGCAAGATATATGGAATTATGCAGCAAAGAACAAAATGACTCTAAATATGTCTTATATTTTAAATTCCTCAAAGTAGCCACCCTTTGCTTTGTTGACAGCGCTGCAAACCCTTGGCCTTCTGTTAATGATCTTAATGATGTAGTCACCTGAAATGGTTTTCACTTCACAGATGTGCTTTGTCAGGGTTCATTTGTGGAATTTCTTGCCTTCTTAGTTGGGATGGGACCATCAGTTGTGTTATGCAGAAGTCAGGTTGGTACACAGCTGACATCCTGTTTCACAACATATGTTAGAATTCGTATGATGGCAAGAAACAAACAGCTAAGAGAAACAGCAGTCCATCATTGTTTTAAGAACTGAAGGTCAGTCAGTCCGGGAAATTGCTAAAACTGAATGTGTCCAAGTGCAGTCGTGAAAACCATGGAGTGCTGCCATGAAATTGAGGACTGCCACAGGTAACGAAGACCAAGAGTTACCTCTGCTGCTGAGGATAAATTCATCCAGTCACCAACCTCAGAAATTAACAGCACCTCTGATTAGAGCCCAGATAAATGCCACACAGAGTTCCAGTAGCAGACACATCTCTACATCAACTGTTCAGAGGAAACCACGACTAAGGAAAAGCAACAAGCAGAAGAGATTTGTTTGGGCCAAGAAATGCAAGGAATGGACAGTAGACCAGTGTAAATCTGTGCTTTGGTCTGATGAGTCCAAATTTGAGATCTTTGGTTCCACCCGTTGTGACTTTGTGCAATGCAGAAAAGTTGAACAGATGGTATTTGCATGCATGGTTCTCACCATGAAGCATAAAAGAAGAGATGTAATGGTGTGGGGGTGCTTTGCTGGTGACACAGTTGGGGATTTATTCAAAACTGAAGGAACACTGAATCAGCATAGCTACCACAGCATCCTGCAGTTGGACCATCATTTATTTTTCAACTCGACAATGACCCCAAACACACCTCCAGGCTGACCAAGAATGAAAGTGATGGAGTGCTGCGCCAGATGACCTGGCCTCCACAGTCACCTGATCTAAACCCAGTCGAGATGTTTTAGGATGAGATGGACCGCAGAGGTAAAGCAAAAGGGCCAACAAGTGCTCAGCGTCTCTGGGAACTCTTTGAAGTCTGTTGGAAAACCATTTCAGGTGACGACCTCATGAAGCTCAGTGAGAGAATGCCAAGAGTGTGCAAAGCAGTAATCAAAGCGTGGCTATTTTTAAGAATGTAAAATATAAAACATGTATTGACTTTTTTCACACTTTTTGGTTTTCTACATAATGCCATGTGTGCTCATTTATAGTTTTGATGCCTTCAGTGAGAATCTGCAACATAAATAGTCGTGAAAATTAAAACAAACCAGTAAATGTGAAGGTGTGTCCCAACTTTTGACTGGTAGTGTTTATCAATATTTGCAGGTAATATATTATCTGATTATTGTAATGGAAACGTCACCTTCAGTATATATTCATAGATTTAGTTGTGCCATTTGTTTCAGATCAGTGAATACTTATATAGTGAGTATATCTTTGCAGGTGTTATGAGGAAAGAACTGCAGCCTGTGAACTCAAAAGACGTATATTCGGCTTCATTCGTCAAACCGTGAACTCATCACTAGAGGTGAGCACATTTTGGGGGGGGTGAGTTTGTTGTTTTTATAATATCTTTTCTTGAAAGATCTATAAATACCTGAGACAAGGAACAAGGTGCAAGCAAAGGTAACTTTTATAAATTATAACCTGTGTTATATATATTTGTATTGATGTACTGTGGAGGATGTATGCATTCAGATCTTTTTTTCATGCTCTTGTTTGTGCTTTTCAGGGTGATATGAACCCTACATTTCACCACAGAATTCACATCCCATCCTCAGCTTTCAAAGGAGCTGCCACCACAGTGATGGCTTCTGTTATCAACAGCACTTATTTTAAGGTAAGTAGAACCTTAAGAGAGAACCTTAGTCCCATCATACAGTAAGAAGACATAATTTAAGTATTGTCTTTCATAGAAACATTTTGCATCAACTTTTTTTTCCAAAAATTTTGTTTATTTACTTTATATCCTCTGTCCCGTGAAGTGGAGATCAGGTCTTGTTTGATTGCAGAATGATATGATGGCTGAGTGAGGCAGAGAGGATTTTACTCAGAGCTGTAGAAGTTTATTTATAGCTGTCAGAAGGTGATGTGGAAGAAAACCAGACGTTAGAGACACAAAGGTGAAAGTTCAGATGGAGGATGGCAGCTTTTGAAAAGCCTGAGCAGGGGCAAAATGACGACATCCAAAAGTCCATTATGGCTTTGCAAGCTAGGGCACTAAAGTTGTAGGATTTGGATTCTCAACAGGACACTGCCCTGCAAAACGAATCCTCTTTCCATGGCATCCTTGTTGCATTCTCTTTAAGAGTTCTCACTTTTCAGAGGGCTTTATTATTTTCTCACGCATCAGTAGGAATGGAAACTTATAAGAATTCAGCAATGCTGAATACATTATCAATCCTTTTTACCCACTCGATTGCTTATTGATGCTCATTAGGTTCTTCCTGGGCTTTGCTTTGAGAGTCACCACCAGCTCCAAGCAGCATGTCAAAGATATGCAAATGAATTGCATGCTGTGAGCTATTTCCCCTCTTTGTTGTTATCAGAATTGGGGTCTTTTAAAAAGTAATGTATTACACATTGCACAGGATACTTTTCTTCAAAGTAACGCAGTACGCTACTTAGTTACATCTAGGGCAACATAATTCGTTATACTACTCCTTACATTACTTTTGCCTTTCTCTGTAAAATGGCCCAAAATTCACTCTTTCATAATTACCATTTCATAATATAAACCTACAGCCTACAGTCCCACACACAACAAAAATCCCATTTTCAACACTAACATTACTGTCATGTGTCTGCCTCATTGCAGCTGAGTCCTCCTCAGAAAAGTAGATTCCAATTCCACCGCAGAGAAGGCACTGTGCTCGGAGGATTAGTCCTCGCGGTGAAGGCAGTTAACATGACAGAAAATGGTGAAATCATCAGAAATCTCTTACAACCCATCATGTTATTCTTCAAACACAACAAAAAGGTAAAAATACAAACATAGTTGGGCTAACATCATATTTAGAAAATGGAATAACCTGTTTCCCTCTTATTTTGATTTAGTCTTCACAGATTACAGATGGAACTTGTGTATTTTGGCAGGAATCAGACAATGGAACAGGTGCTGTTATCGATGTCATTGTTCGGTATTTTTATTTCTAAGTAAAAAGGTGACGCACACTTACTTGCTCTGATTTTTTTTCCTGTGTAGGTTACTGGAGTGTTAAAGGCTGCAAAACCAATAAAACTGAAGATGAATTTATTTGCAGCTGCGACCATCTCAGCTTCTTTGCTGTTCTTGTGGTAATATAATTTAACAGAAAATGATCAAACTTTGGTCATAAAAATATATTTTTGTCTTATTTTTGTTTAGCAGCTGTAACTCGGCACAGCATATCGATTAGGAGACAAAATGCCATGTGTATAGCATTTGAGGGGTGATATATTTTGTATAATTAAATATACCAGAATAAATGAGAGGAATAGATTTTTTAATGCCAGCGTGAGCTAACCAGTGCATTACATATAGATTGTATAAAAGCAGGATGTAACCTGATATGTCACTCGTTAGTTTTGGAATCAGCATTTAGAAGCCTCAGTGTTAGCTGCCTTGTGGAAGAGAGGACAGCAGATGTTAGGAATCTTCATCAATAATCTGTATTGGTACATTGTACAGATACAGATATCTGCTTTTGATGACTTACGAAACAACAATAAAATACTGGAATACTTGTATTCTCTCACTAAAACTGAAGTACAAATTGTTTGGCTGGGTTGTGTCACACCACATAGTATTTGTTAAATAATATCACTAATCTAAAGGTTAGCTGACAGTATTTAGCCAGAGCTGTTTATGCTAGCAAACATGTTACTCAAAGCTGGCGCATGCCTGACTTTGAGCCTCTCGTTATAACAACAATTATAACTCTATTACAATTGTAATAAATAGGATGAAATTATCTATAGAACCTCAAAACTATTTTTGTACTAAGCTGTAAACTTGATTGTTAATATCATTATGGCAATTTTAACCTTAGTAATTAACTTGCTTTTGGAGGAACTGCAGTGTTTAGCATGTCTACACCAGCTTCTTGGTCACACTGGTACTTCCTTTATTTTTACATACGTACATACAGTGGGGCAAAAAAGTATTTAGTCAGCCACCGATTGTGCAAGTTCCCCCACTTAAAATGATGACAGAGGTCAGTAAT